CACTCGAGGCTGCTTGGATACAGCGTGATCCAGGCAGACGTGGTCCAATGAGACAATACTCACGTACTGTGCCTAGCAAAGCCCCTTATACACAACCTCACGGAAAGTGGGACTTGATTGTTGTTGCTTTCCTATTAGTATTGTTAATTTACTATGATGATTCGTATTAAGACAGGGGTGCGTTTAGGAAGACTGGAGGAAGACACTCCATGAAGGTGGTCAGCCACCCGAGTCCCTCCCTTCACTCCCTCCATCCCTTCCCCTTTGCCACTTGCATCATGACAGAGAGAGCTGGCTAATGACACCACGGGCCAGTGCGACCTCCCCTTGCACACAGAGCTCATCAGCCCTTTTGGGCTTCTTGCATGGTTCTCTCCCCAGGTGAAGCTTCTACTTAAGCTATTCCCAGGGTCTACATCAGGTGTCACAATGCCACCTGTATACTACTGATCCCTTCCTGTGAGCAACACAGTATGGAGCCCCTGGGAGTCCTTTGGAAGGATCCCCTCCTCTTTGCTACCCAGATGGTCCTCAGAGTCTAGCAGGACTGCCCGACAGGACGGGAAAGTCTGCATGATGCGGCCTCAGAAATAACTCACATCTCCTACCATGGAGCCCTCATCCCCTCCTGTCCGGCCCCCATGGTTTGCTGGCTCTTCCTGAAACATACCAGGCACTGTTGTGCCTCCCTGGAGCCTGGACACTTACTATCGTCTCGCCTACAGAGGCTTCTCCTCCAGACACACACACATCTTACTTCCTCGCCTCCTCTAGGATGCTGGGTAAATGTTATCATCTCAGAAGACATCTTTCTTGACCACTCTGCCCAGACTCGAACCCCTGTCATCCCAGCACTCCCCAAGAACCGTCTCTGCTTCATTTCTCTCCATTACACCTACCCCTCTCTGAATCTCTCTGTAGCCTGCCACTGTTGAGATCAAGATAGGGTCTCCATGAGGAAGTGGATTTTTGTCTATTTTCTTGACGGCTGTGCTCCTGGTGCCCAGAGCAGCATCCGCACATGTGAGCCGCTCAACGGGAGGAAGAAAAAAGGCACCAAGCCTGTGAAAGACCCTGCAATGTGGTGGACATGCCTGGCTCACTGACACCGCGACGTTGAGTAACGATTTTTGAGATAAAACAAAAATAGTAAAGGACGCGTAATTGACAAGCGGAGAAACTAACATACTCGTTTACCAGCTGGAGGCCAGGTCCTCTGTACCGGTTTGTCATTTTCTTTCTTTGTGGTCACTAAACTGAAGCTCTGTGGTTGCCTCGTAGTGGTTCTAGAAACATCCCAATAAGGTACTTCTCTAAACCACTCAACTCATCTACATAAGCTAACACCAAAGTTAGTTATTTAAAACATCAGCTGCCAAATATAATGTCAGGAAAGGATGTACCTAGTGTGTGTCTGTGTGTGTGGGGGGGTTACACGAATGAGGAGGGGGGATTACATTAAAGGGAGGCCAGTAATCTTTCCAATCAGGATTATTAGTTGCTGACCATAATAATAAACCCATTTAACCACTATTATTACCTCTGCATTTAAAAGGGCACAATGGCAGGGGGGCGGGGGGGGGGACTGGGTGGCTCAGTTGGTTAAGTACAGCTATGGCCCAGGTCATGATCTCACAGTGATCTCACAGTTTGTGAGTTCAAGCCCCGCGTCAGGCTCTATGCTGATTGCTCAGAGCCTGGAGCCTGCTTCGGATTCTATGTCTCCCTCTCTCTCTCTGCCCCCCCCCCAACTCATACACACTCTCTCTATCTCTCAAAAATATATAAAAACATTAAATTTTTTAAAAAAGACAGTTTCAGAGCAACATGAATCAATACATTTCACATAAACAAGGCTTGCAGGAAGCTGGGCAGGAAGAAAAAGAAAGCATCATGTCTATCCTTCAGGAGCTTCCAATCTAACAAGAGAGGCAAACTTCTAAATAACCAACTATGGGGGCGCCTGGGTGGCTCAGTCAATTAAGCATCCCGACTTTGGCTCAGATTGAACTCGTGGTTCGTGAGTTCGAGTCCTGTGTCGGGCTCTGTGCTGACAGCTCGGAGCCTGGAGCTTCTGATTCTGTCTGTCTGTCTGTCTGTCTCTCTCTCTCTCTGCCCCTCCCAACTTGCACTCTGTCTCTCTCAAAAATAATAAATGAACCTTAAAAATAAATAAATAACCAACTATATACAAGGTGGTGAAGATGTTTGCCAGGAACATAAGGTGCCTGTTACCACCTCCCAGGCCCAAGTTTGGTGATGGCAGTAAGGAGAACGAAACTCTAGGACCACCTTCTACCCATCAGAGGCTAGGCATACAAAGTCACTGAAAGGAGGCAGTCTGGTTGCTAGGCAACCATGAAAGGCTATCAGCCTGACTGAAAGTGATAATCTGCAGCTAATAAATTAATGTGTCAATCAATAAAAAGGGAGAGGTCAAGCAGGAAAGCCTGGGTAGAAGTTTGGACATGGCCTTGAACCCTACAGAGGGAAGAGACAGCCTATGCCATAGTACTTGAAGAATCGTGGCACTCCGTGGCCTATGGATGTCATTGGCTCAAGGAAACAAAGCATGAGTCTGTCAAGACCTCATTTGCACCTCAGTCCTTGTTACGAGATGGACGGCATATCAGACACCCCTCAGCTTGGAACCCATCCGTTCTCCTTGCAGAAATTCATGTTCGTGCAACAATCTCCTCGTTCTTTGTGACTTCTCACATAGGCCGCCTCCAAAGAGTCAATCCACTTAACAGACTCGCCCAAGTTTTTCCAGGCCCTGTTATAATTATGGCTCCCTACACGGTAACGAAGTTGAGGTTTATTATGATTTGACTTCCTAAGTAACTTGACAATCATGAAGCAGTGTGCTGTTGCTCTCAAAATAAATATTAGAGTCTATACAGTATTTCTCCCTCATTGAAAATTAGTCACGTTTGTCATTTATGGCTCCGTCTCATGAGAACTCTAGCTCCATCTCATGAGTCGGTCCCAGATGGCCAGTGGACAGTTAATACAGGTCTAGGAGGTGGGTGGCCTTCTCAGGGTCTTACCCAGTGACATCTTTGCCTACCACCAATTTACTTTTCCTTCTCTACCTCCCTGACCTGTCTCAACTCCCTTCTCCCCCTACAGATGCCGACAGAAAGCAGAACGGGGTTAGTGCTCAGTGACAGCAAAAGTGGCATGCCAGGCAAACAAGAGAAGGGTTATTATATTGACTGTGCAGTTGGGAAAACCCTCACAGGGAAGGAGACTTTCAGCTGAGCCTTGATGGATGAGAGGGTTTCTTGGAAAAGAAGGGTGAGATGAAGAAGTGAGGAGGAGACAGAGGTGAGATGCATCAATGAAGGTTTCAGTGAAAAGCAAGGAAAGTGAGACAGTCTCAGGTCATCCACGAGTTTTTCACTTGAAACCACCAGGCAGATAGTGGTGATGTTGCCGAGAACAACCATCTGTATTTGTGAGGGCTCCTGAGGGAGACAAAATTCTGTCAGAACAAGTTGAGATCAGGTTTCTGTGGAATATCCACGGTGATATGAACTGGGGGCCCAAGGAAAAGTCTGGAGAACCCTCTCCTACCAAGGTATCCTTTACTGAAAACCTACTTTCCCCTATTTTGGTTTTATGGCTGGTTGAAGCACCATCATTGAGACTATTCCAAGGCTCCATGTGGCTTCTCTGTTCTCACATTCTTTCTTCTTCTTCCTTCTTAATGTTGTGCTTTGCACCCTCATTCCACTTCCCCATAACTGTAACCCTGCACCTTGCTTCATTGCTGACACTGGCAGGACCAGGAAGAAGTTAGAAGACATTCAGACACCACCATTTGGGGTCTTATCCCATGGCTGTGGGCTCAGCCTGGTAACAAGTTGCCATTGTATATAAAACATGGAAAACAAACCCCAATGGGTGTCTTCCACCACAGAAGTTCCTTTCCTTACCTCTCTGGAAAGCTACAAACAAAATAAGTTACAGCAAGGAGACTTGACTAACATCTGATTGTCCCTGTGGTGCAACGAGTTTGTCACATGCCAACCCTTTCCTCATCCCTTCTTTGCTTCCCCCAACCCATGAAAGTGATAGAAACCTGGCCACTATTCATTAGGAAGAAAACAGATGACCCACATCCTAGATACAGATTAGCCAACCCCAAAATTCACATGACACACATTCCCCAGGACGTCCATCTTCATTAAAAGAGAGAGAGAGAGAGAGATGTTTGGACTATAGTCCAAATTCTGATTTAGTAATCTGGTGGCTGAATTTACATTAAATTCATTCTAGAAGTACAAGATTTGTCTCATAATTAGACTTGGCTCTTTTATCGAAATACTAAAGCTTTGTAAAATCAGTGACTCCGTAAGAATTTGCATCCTTCATATTTTATCTTTGTGGGTTTTTTAGAGAAGGCAAGTGTAGCTGTCCACAAGCAAGTATGCACACGTCTACACTGGCACACACATGCACACACGTACATGCATTCTTGCCTACGGTAGGACTGAGCAACGGTGGAGAGAAAGACATGCGCACACTGAAAGCAAAAAGTTCAAGGAAAAGTTATGCTCTTAATTTTATTGGCAGGGATATGGGAAACAGAAAACCCATCCGATGGGGCTTTTAATGCCTTAAAGATCCTATAAAGCTTGTTTGTAATAGTTTTGAAGTACACAGAGGCCAACCCTAAAACAAACAGGAACCATGGGTGCAATCAATACCACCTGAATTTACATTCCTGTAAATGACATTCTGTCCATCCCAGCTAACCACAAAAATAACTCCTAACCAAATTTTCCAAGGGCATCGAGTGCACTTAAAAAAGAGAAAAAGAAAGAAAGAAAGAAAGAAAGAAAGAAAGAAAGAAAGAAAGAAAGAAAGAAAGAAAAGAAAAAAGAAAAGAAAAGAAAAAAGAAAAGAAAAGAAAAGAAAAGAAAAGAAAAGAAAAGAAAAGAAAAGAAAAGAAAAGAAAAAAGGAACAGGAGAGTTCCCAGCCTTGATCTCACCTCTGGCTCTTCAAATGCAGCCTCTTCAAGGGGAGATTTCTGGAGCAGATCCAAGATGTCATTGCCCGAAGGCCTCCTGTCCTCAGCAGGAGAGGCGTAGGCCTCCTCGGAGTCTGTTTCCCCCGCGTGGAGGGGGCCTGCTTCTTCCTGACTCCAATCCAATTCTTCTTCAGACTGTTTCAGGGAGCTGCTGCTGCTCTTGGGGAAGATCCCTGCAGTCGACAGGCTGCTGGGCACCGAGGTATAGGATGACTGAGGCCCAGAGTAAGGCCGCCCCTCTGGGGCCAAGGCCTCAGCCTCCAGGAGGTCAGGGACAGAAAGGCTGAGGCGGCGGTCCAAGGGACGCCTTGCCCTTAGGTCTAGGGGCTTGCTTGCATTCTTTTTCACCTTCCTCTTGCTCAGGTTGATTAACAAAGGCCTGGTTCGCTGTTTCAAAGAGCCCCAGACAGATGGCTTATCCATATCCATGACTGCGTGAAGACCCGGAAGTCACTCCATGAGCTTTCCTCTCTGCGGAAAACCACTTCAGTGGCTCCTAGAAAACAGAATATAAGGAGAGAGAACATGAGCCTTCTTGGCGGTATCCAAGCACATCAAAGTGTAAAATGTGACTTGAAAGTTCTAACGCTTTCCTCTAAGGGATCAAGACTGAAGCATTCGATTGGTAATGTCTACAAGTATTTAAAAAATTTTTTTTCATGTTTTCTTTTTATTTTAGAGAGAGAGGGAGGGAGGGAGAGCACAAGCAGGGGAGGGGCAGAGAGAGAGAGACACAGAATCTGAAAGTGAGTGATAGGAATGCTTCACCAATAAATATTTAATTACACAGACTGGCACATGCGATGCAGGAAAGGAGGTAATTTGAGATATTACAGGTTGAACTCAGTAGGGATCAATTCAAAATCAAATTTGGATACAAAAAAAAAAAAGAAATTGAACCACTTTCCTTCACCAAACACCAAAATAAATTCAAAATGGATTAAAGATCTGAATATGAGACAATAAAAATCCTAGAAGAGAGCACAGGGAGTAATCTGACATTGGCTGTATCAATTTATATATATAAATCAATATAATTTATATTGATTATAATATATCAATAAATATATTTTAGGATATATATATATATATATCCTAAAAGAAGGGAAATAAGAGCAAAAATAAACTATTGGAAATACATCAAAATTAAAAGCTTCTGCACAGTAAAGGAAACAACAACAATCAACAATTAGGCAGTGTGCTGAATGGGAAAAGATATTTTCAAATGACATATCTGATAAAGGGTTAGTATCCAAAATATATAAAGAACTTATATAGCACAATGCCCCAAAAATAAATAATCCAATTAAAAGTGAGCAGAAGACATGAACAGACATTTCTCCTTGGAAGATATGCAGATGGCTAACAGACACATGAAAAGATGCTCAGCATCACTCATCATCAGGAAAATGCAAATGAAAACTACAATGAGTTATCATCTCACATCTGTCAGAATGGCTAAAATCAGAATCACAAGAAACCACAAGTGTTGGCAAGGATGTGGAGAAACAAGAATACTTGTGTGCTGTTGGTGGGAATGCAAATTGAGGCAGCCACTATGGAAAACAGCATGGAGGTTCTTCAAAAAATTAAAAATAGAACTATCTTATGATCCAGGAATTACGCTATTGGGGATGTACCCAAAGAACACAAAAACATTAATTTAAAAAGATACATGTGCCCCTATCATGTTTACTGCAACATTATTTACAATAGCCAAACTATGGAAGCATCCAAAGAGTCCATCAAGAGATGATCGGATAAAGAAGGTGTGGTAGATATATATGTGCATACATATACACAACGGAATATTATCTATCCATTAAAAAAAAGAAGGAAATCTTGTGTGCCATTTGCAACAACATAGTTAGAGCTAGAGTATACAATGCTAAGCAAAATAAGTCAGAAAAAGACAAATACCAGGGCACCTGGGTGGCTCAGTAGGTTAAACATTCAATTCTTTGATTTTGGCTTGGGTTATGATCTCACAGTTCATGAGATTGAATCTGGCGCCGGTCTCTTTGCTGACAGTGTGGAGCCTGCTTGGGATTCTCTCTCTCTTCTCTGTCTGCCCCTCCCCTGCACATTCTCTCTCTCTCTCTCTCTCTCTCTCTCTCTCAAAATAAATAAATAAATAAACTTTAAAAAAAAAGACAAGTATCATATGATCTCATTCATATGTTCAATTTAAGAAACAAATGATCAGGGGCACCTGGGTGGCTCAGTCAGTTAAGCATCCAACTTCAGGATGATCTCATGGTTGGTGGGTTCAAGCCCCATGTTGGGCTCTGCACTGACAGCTCAGAGCCTGGAGCCTGCTTCAGATTCTGTGTCTCCCTGTCTCTCTCTGCCCTTCCCCTGCTCATCTGATGTCTGTCTGTCTGTCTGTCTCTCTCTCTCTCTCAAAAATAAACATTAAAATTTTTTAAAAATAAAAATAAAAATGATCAAAGAGAGAGAGAGAGAGAGAGAGAAACCATAAGCAGACTCTTAACTACAGAGAACAAACTGATGGTTACTAGAGGGGAGGTGAGTGGGTAGGTGGGGATTAAAGAATATACTATCATGATGAATATATTATCATGATGAATAATAATTTTTTAAAAGATAAATTATATGTAGGTCTTAGAGATTTAACCCCAAAAAATCAAATTTGGAGAAATAAAACTTATTCTATGTGTCAAGTAGCTCATAATGGATACTTCCTGAATGAAAAGGAACAGTGGGGTCAGGTCATTCTGACCTGCCTGTACTTACATTGTCATGTTTGGCTAAGGATAAAGGAGGCCAAGAGCCACAACAAAACACATTTTCTGAAATCAAGCATTTGTACCAGCTCTATCTCACTCCACAACAGGATATTTAGTCATTGAGAAGTTACTGTCTTTGAAGAGCAGGACTAGGGGCACCTGGGTGGCTCAGTTGGTTAAGTGTCCGACTTCGGCTCAGGCCAGGATCTCATATTTCTTGGGTTCGAGCCCCACATTGGGCTCTGTGCTGACAGCTAGCTCAGAGCCTGGAGCTTGCTTCAGATTCTGTATCTCCCTCTCTCTCTGACCCTCCCCTGCTCATGCTGTCTCTCTCTCTCTCTCAGAAATAAATAAAACATTAAAAAAAACTTTTTAAATAAAATAAAGAAAAGAAGGACTAGAAGAGTCTGCTGCCTATGCCAGATAACCACCAGTACAGTCAAGAGCTTCTCCCAGGATGAAATGGGTATCTTCAGTAGGCAATGCAGAGATGAAGAGCTTGGGTTCTAGAGACAGACTCCATTGGTTGGAATTTTGCTTTCCCATATTCTACTTAGATGTACCATCAGGGGCAAGTCATTGTACTAAGCCTCAATTGTCTCACCTATCCAAGGGGGATTATATTATCCAGCGTACAAACAAAATGATGCAACATGTAAGGCACAGTGTCAAATGCAGACAAAGTATTCAAAGTCAAGAAAAGCTATGTTTTATCTTTATTGATACTGCTGTCATAATTTCCAATTTTAGTATCTTCAAGATCTCTGTATCTCATTATTATTTTGAATTTTCCAGAGCTTAACCAGAACAACCTCATTGTCCTCTTGTGAGAATTGAATGAATTAGTCTCTGTGAAGTGTTTAGAACAGTGCTTGGCACAGAGTAACTATTTAAGAGGTTAGCTGGTTTTTAAATTATTATAATTTCAATGATTGCACACTGAGTCATGCTAGCTTTGAAAGCATAAAATATGTTACCACATTTTGCTGCTTTTTAAAATGTTGCTCTAAATACAAACTTCTATTTCACGTTAGCAAGACACAAATACATTATTTCACATCTCATAACTTAACTTGCAAATATGCTAAAAAGGATTGTTTCTATACTCATTTAGAAATATTTTAGTCAATTAGTTGAATGTTATATAAACGCTTATTAGATCTAGTTGGTTAATGATTCAGTTCTTCTATACTCTTGCTCAGTTTCTGTCTACTAGTCTTACTTAGGGAGGAGTGTTGGGTTACTCAATTATAATTATGAATTGGTCTACTTCTCCCTTCAGTTATGTCAGGTTTTGCTTCTGTATTCTGAAGGGCTGTTGTTAGCTGAATACATGTTTACAATTGGTATATCTTCTTGCTGTTTAACTCCAATCTGACAATCTCTTTTAGTTGGTTTGTTTAGACCATTTACATTTAATGTAATAATTGAGATGTTTGTTTTAAGGTTTCCCAACCTATGTGTGTTGTTTGTTTCCATTGCTTTTTATTGTTATGTTTCCTTTCCTTGCTTTTTACAAGATTAACACTATTTTTTAGTGTTCTACTTAAGTCATAATTATTATTTTGACCATAGTTCTTTTTAATAAAATTTTAGTGGTTGCTCTAGAAGTTACAATATGCATAGTTAACCTTTCACACTCTACTTAGAATCAATAACTTAGCACTTCAACTTCAAGAAAAAAAACACACTACATGCATTTGTTTTTTACTGCTTTCATAACAAAAATCCACAAACTTTGGGGTTTAACGAGATAAATACATTAATTTTTCAGTTCTAGAGTTCAAAAGTCCAAGACATATATCACCAGGCTAAAATCAAGATGTTTGCAGGCTGTGTACCTTCTTGGAAGCTCTAGAAGAATATCTACTTCCTGTCATTCTAGACCAAGAGGTTCCCATTTTCTTGATGGCTGTCAGATGAGACCCAATATGCAATCTCTGGAAGCTGCTCACATCTCTTGGCCCCTTCCTCCATATTTAAAGCTACTAAGAGCCAGGAAAATCCTACTCAAAGCTCATTTTTCTGATCCACCTTTCTGCCATCCTCGTCAACTTTTAAGGACTCAATTTGATTCAATTGGGCCCATCAGGATAATGCAACATTTTCTCACTATCTCAAGGTCTACCGTCTTAATCGTATCTGCAAATTCCTTTTGCCTTTTGCCATGTAATGTAATATATTAATGCATATGAGGATTAGGATGTAGGATTCTGTAGGGCAGAAGGAGATTATTGTGCCTACCATAGCACAACATAGGGATCCTCTTCCTCCTCCCTTGTAAGTTATCTTAAATATTACATCTAAATAATTGCAAACTCCCATCAGACAAGCTTTTACTTTGATTTCAATAATGAACCATATTTTAAATAATTCAAGAAGAGAAGAGCAGTCTATTATATTTACCATTTTCTCCATTCCTGATTTTCAAATTTCTGGTATAAGTTTCCATCGGTATAAGAAACTTCCTTAACTGGTTATTTTATAGCAAGTCTGTTGACTCCAAATTCTTTGGGTTTTACCTCATATGAGATATTTTCATTCCACCTTCAAGGATATTTTCTTGGAATCCCAGATCCCACACTTTTCTTTCAGCACTTTAAAAATGGTATGGCCTTTCCTCTGGCTTCCGTGATTTCTGCTGAGAAATTTCAGTCATTTGAATCACTGTTGTCCTACAGAGAAGATGTCACTTTTTCTCTGACTGTTTTCAAGATTTTGTCTTTAGTTTTCAGAAGTTATGATA